AGGCTACTCCAATGGTCCAGGCATGAGATGATGATGGCCTTTACCAAGGAGGAGAAAAGGAAGGGGGCATATAAAAAGTGTACAAAGATTGAATAGACAGGACTTGGCAACAGATTGGCAGGAGAGGGAGGGCAAGAATGAGGAATAGAGGATATCACCTAATTTAGGACAGTAGGTGACTGGGAAGATGGTGGTGCACTTGAAATTAATAAGTAAGCTGGGGAGAGGGCAGGTAATGAGCTTAGTTTTGGACATGTTAAGTTTAAGATCTTTACAAGATAATCAATTCAAGATGTCCAACAAGCAGTTGGAGATGCTAGACTGGAGCTCAGGAGAGAATTTAAGGTTGAAAAAAGAGATCTAAGAAAAGTATCAGCATAAAGATGAAAACTGAATCAACCCATGAGGAGCTGATGAAATAGTATAGAGGGTAAAAAGAAGAGAGCCCAGGACAAAGCACAGGTAGGGGTGGGAATATTCATGATTATCAGACATAACGTGGATGAAGATCTAAGAAAAGAAAGTAGTCAGGAAGGAAAAGAACAAGGGGAATGGGGAAGAGAATACGCATTTATACAGAGCCTCCCATAAGTACATTCAATTATCTTACTGAGCCTCATAACTACCCTGCAAGGTACATGCCGTTAATATCCCTATTTAAGTTGAGGAAACTGAGACAAACGGAGGTGATTTGCCCAAGGTCATACAACTAGTGTCTGAGGTCGGATTTGAAAAGTTCTGACTCCAGGCCCAGCACTCTATCCACTGCACCACCTAGCCACCTCTAGGAAAAGTGTCATGAAAAAGTAGAAGAGAATATCAAGAAGAAAAGAATGATCAACAGGATCAAAAGCTGAATTTAAAAAGAAAAAAAGGGCCAAAACATTTATTTGGCAAGTAAGAGATCATTGGTAACTATGGAAAGTGCAGTTTCAGCTAAATGATGAAGTCAGAAACCTGATTGCAGAGTTAAGAAAAGTGTGAGGGGAAAAGGAGAAGCACCTATTGTAAACAGCCTTCTCAAGGAGTTTAGCCATGAAAGGAAAGAGATATAGAATATGACAGTTAACAGAGATAGTTGAAGTGAGATTTTTTTTTTGAGGACTGGAAGATCTATGGGTGAATTTCAGGAAGTAGCCAAGTAGACAAGGAAAGACTGAAGATTTGTGAGAGTACAGAGATAATATTAGAGGCATTCTGCTGGAGAATCCAATACAGCATTGGGATATGTTCATGTATAGAGAGGCAATGAGAAGAGCCACCTCTCCCTTAGAAAGGGGAGGAGGAAATAGGGGGAGAAGCCATCAGAATGATATGAGATGAGGAAACGGGGAGAAGAGAGGGTTCTTATCAAATGGCCTCAATTTTTTCAGTGAAATATGAGGTAAGGTCTTCTACTAAGAGAGTGAAGAAAGGGGAGGACATGGAAAGTTTAAGAGAGATGGAAAAATCTAGAAAAACCACTGTGGTGATTGGGAGAGTAAGTTGATTAGAGAAACGTAAAAGGATTGCCTTGCTATAGTCAGGGCCCCACTTAAGAATATCTGATATAAATTTGTAGTAGACCAAGTTGGCAAAGTTTCATGATTTTATTCAGCTTCATTCAGCAGCACGTGAGTAGGAACAAAGACAGTGAGTGGATGAAGGAGCAATCCCAAGATAAAGCTTGCCATGGCAAGATCAGCAATAGGAAACAAGCAAGGGACCTGAGAGAAGAGAACTGTGTAGAATTGAACTTGTTCACCAATAGGTCAAGATGGGGAAGGAAAAGAATACATAATTAGTGCAGGGGTGCCTGGGAAAGAAATGAGGGGCAAATAGAATGATGAGAAAAATAAAGTGTAAATGCCCTGGAGAACACAGTGAAGTGGGGGGAAAAAAACAAACCAGGGTCTGCAAGTTACAGTAAGAAGACAAAATAACAATATGTGAGTTTAACCTCTACAAATCTTAGCTTTAGAATTATTATGCTACAAATTAGGTCAACAATTCCAAATTTGCAAACTCTAAAAGCCAAACTTCACTATGGGGTGTTTTGGAGTTCGACTCTGAAGTAATGAACAGAGTCCATTTGTGGATGGAAAGATTGGGTTCTATTCACAGAAAACCATAAATACTCCATGCCTCAGTATAAAAAAAAAATCCTATCTATTAATTCCTTAGGTAGCTCTGAAACAACAAACGTGTGTGTGTATATATAAAGTTTTTCACTGATTTGCTACTTACTTCATAATTTGCAAAATTAGCACAACTGTCATCACAAATCTATGTGAAATGAAAGACAAGTGATATACTACTAAAGTAGTAATAACAAAAAGAAATTTTCTTTATCAAAAATCATTCCCTGAAATTCTTAAGTCCTTGAGGAAGTCCATGCTTACAACATACACAAATCATCAACAAAAGCAACTCACTGTGTTATATAATACTATATTATCAAGTATAATTTATTTCCTACTTTTAGTGAACTTCTAACATGGGAATTTTTTACAAAAATAAATTAGAAGTGATTACTTATTTATGTTAACAACGTGATCATTATAGATTCCTTTAAATGGCAGGCTCTCCAAATGCTTTTAAAATAAGATTCAGTTGACATACACTTTTTAAATTACACATATACTTCCAGATGAACAAGACGAAGACCAGATTTTTTTTCCCTGTGATACCTAGGATTTCTCAAACCTCTCCAAAACAGAAATTATGCATCAAAGATAAAGCAACTTCAGCTCTTCCCATGGTGTGGTACACCCAGAATCCAAAAGAAGAAACTCCATTACCAGGATTATACCCAAATGAAGCCATCGATAAGAAGAAAATCTCCATAATACTCCAAAATATTGACAGCAACACTTTTTGTGATAGCTAAGCATTGGAAACAAGGTAGACACCCTTCAATCTAATGGAATGTTACTGTGCTGAAACAAATAATGTGTGCAATGAATATAGTGAAGTACAAAAAGAAACATATGAATTGATCCATAGTACAGAATGCAGAAGTAAGCAGAACCAAGAAAACAATCTACATAGTAACTACAAGGATTTAAACGGAAAGACACATCAAAAAAATCAAAATGTAACAAAGTTATAAAGATAAGCAAGACTCAAATTAAGAGAAATTACAAATTACCTCCAAGTTACTCTTTCATGGAAGTAGAAAGTACACAGGTGTTATAAGCTGCATAAGTTCAATGTATTAACCAATTGTGCTGATTTTTTTTATTCTACCTAAAAATCCCACTTTCTGAGATCCACTTGTATATATCATAAAGAGCAACTGATTAGAATACATTAGTTCTAATTCTGCCTTTTCCATTTCCTTTCTTAGTTGTGATCTTGATCAATTCATAAAAGGGAACTTTTTAATGATTCCAAGCTTCTCCCTGTAATAAAGGCTCATTAAAGTTCTTCTAGTTATTGCATATGGCTGCAAAGTATGGAATACTATAGTCTTCAAAGAATTAAAATTAAAGATTACCCAAAGGACTATGAAGAGATCCACAATATGCATAGACTATTTGATATGGCCAAGAACTATGCTGCAGAAGTGGCATCGATGTGGGGTTTGTGATTCGCACCTCTGGAGAAAATACTATACTACATTAACTAATACAGAGTTAGATGACCAAGATGGTGACAGGAATGACAACCAACGAACATCTAAAAATGTTGGTGTAGAGCAAGAGTTCTCAAACTTACTGATCTCAGCACACCTTTATCCTTTTAAAAATTATTAAGGATACCCCAAAGGGCTTTCGTTTATATTTAATTGTATTTACCACATCAGAAATTAAAACATAAAATGTTTTAATAAAATGTTTGTACTATTATAGTACAAATAGTTTTGACACTGTGGACAATTGCAAAAGGGCCTCGGGAACTCCCAGTAGTCCATAGACCACATTTCTCAACATCTGAAGAACTGCTGGTTTAAAGAAGAAAAGACTATTAAAAGATAGCTTTCTTCAAATGTCAGAAGGAACACATAAAGCCCCAGGAATACAAATACAGAAGTAAGGTAGTCCTCAAGGAGCTTGCATTCTAATGGACATTAGCACAAAGAAGTCAACATATATAAGGGAGTAGAGAATCACAGGGATGGTGAAAGGATTCACAGGGCAGTCAACCAACATCCCTTTCCAGAAGCAATAGTAATTAATTCGTTTGATAATTGTTACCAGAGATAAACATGAATGGTAGGGAGGATAAACACGTTGTTAAGGCAGATAGCAAGATGTCCTAGATATACATGGTCTGGTCATGTTTGGCTAAGAGGACAGAAATTGGGAGACAGAAGTTACCGAAAAGCAAATTTAAGTTTTCTAACAATGAGAGCTGCCCAAAAGTAAAATAGACCAAGTCAGGAAACAGTCTCCTATAAATGGTCTTCAAAGGGAAAAAGTAGTATGGTAGCAGCGAAACACACACTAGACTTGGAGTCAGAGGAGCTGAGTTCAAATTCTGGCTCTGGCTCTTCATATCTGTATAACCTTGGGCAAGTTATTCAACCTTTTAGCATCTATTTCTTCATCTGTAAAACAAAGGGACTGATCTAGATGGTCTCCAAGGTCCCTTCTGCCTATGAATCTGATTCCATGACCACTTGTTAGAGGAATTGGAAAGTAGATTCCTGTTTCGGTATAGTTTCCAAATATTAGATTTTGAGGGTAGTGCATTCTATTTTTGGACAACTTTAATTGCATTAATTTTTTTTAAAACTGATCCTAAATCTTTGAGACAAATAAAGATTTCTGGAAGTGACGACAGGTGAGCTAAGTCTAAAAGGATGGGAAAGATTTAAATAGGTTGAGAGTGGGGAAGGTGAACTAAAGACTCTCTGGCATGAAAGATTATAGAAGAAAACACACAGAGATAAGCAAGATAAGAATAAGAATAAGAGATGGTTTGTAGTCCAATATGGATGGAATATGAACTGCATAAAAGGCAATGGCAGGAGGTAAGATTGGAAAGGCATGTAGTCAGACCATAGAAGGGCTCAGATGCCAAAGAATTTAAAGCCAGTAGTCAATGGGGAACCACTGGTGATTTTTTCATACAAGAGTGACGGGATCAGAGAGGTACATCAGAAAGATTATATGGGCGATGGTGTGCCCAAAAAAAAAACCAGTTTGGAGAAGAGAGTTATTGGAGGTACAAGCTATTTCAGCTAAGAGGTGATGGAGGCTTTAACTAGGACAGTTGCACTGAGCATGGAAATGAAGAGACAGTTTTGAAACAGTCTACAGAAGTAGAATCCATATTATGTGGCAACTAAGCAGTGAGACAGAAGGAAAAATCAAAGATGACTGAGGTTTTAAAGCCTAGGTAAGCAGGAAAAAGCTGATTTCATTCAATATTGAAATACATTAACTGGATTAATTATGGGGGAGGGCAGGGCTGGGTTTTGTTTTGCTTCAGGTGAGGGCAACAAAAGTTTATTTTTGTGCGTAATATGCAGAAATGTTACAAAAGAACCAGAATTTTAGGTCTGTCATTGGGTAAAAGGCCAATTCAATGACTTATAAAGAACACAGATTAAGGAAATAATATAAATATCAACTTGAACTCTAGAAAGATTTAATTTTCCAAACCATTCACTTTTACAGATTTTCCAACATTAATCTTTGTAGCTTAAAACTTTAAGTATCCTAAATAAAATATTATGCCTGTGTTTCCAGAAGTACTTATTATAGCAAAAACAGTTCTTATCTTCATTTTTAATAGTAATACGGTTTTAACTTAACTACTCCTTGATTGTCTGTGGGGAAATATTCAATATCATTTTCTAGGAGAGGTATTAATGAGGTTCAAAAATTCTATAAATATCAAAGTATAAATATACATAGGTATTAAATGAAGCTAAGTTGAAGATATTTATAACTTGATAGTCTTCAACAAAAGACACATACCTTATATGTGCTTAAAAACAGATCATGTGCCAGAACTGTCCCTGCCACATATGCATAACTTCCTACTATGGAGTCTTTCCTCACAAATCTAATTTCCTGCCACATCTTCTCATAAGATTCTACTTTTCCCCCCAGTCAATGTATAATGGTACTATCGATCTTTTCTTCATTTATTAGACCTGGTTTGGAAATGAGTGCTTTAAAGGTAATATCTCTAAATTGCCTTTTAGTTTAAATATGTATCATGGGGGATCAGAATCACAAAGTGAAAAGAAAAAAGTGAATGAAAGGATTTTGTTGTTGTGGAATATCAGGCAAAAATATTGGAAAATGTTAGCCCTTACAAATGGCAACTTATAGCCCTAAAGATGACTAATGTGAAAAGGTACAGTTTAAAAAAAGTGATTAATTTACTCAGTAGATGCTATACGGATAGAATCTTTAAAATACAATTACCGAGGATGAAGTTTAAGTTGGTAAAAAGTCTGGTCATTGTGATACTAAGTAAATGAGGTAAAAGTCCTCAAATAAGCATATCTAGAGTATGGTGCTAGGTCTGGTCCAATCAGTACTATGGAAACTAGAAATCACAAACAGAAGCACTTCTGAACTGAGACCACAAAGTGTCTTTACAATGAACTGCACCTAGTAGCACAGTTGGATATTTAGCTTTCTCAGAATTCTGTAGGACCAAAGACAGAAGATGGGATTTTCTATCCAGATCTGCCTACCTCACAAACATAATTTCATTTTAATGAGAGAAATATCCTTTGTAACTATTTTAAGATTATGTTGTATTCTATAGTTCCCTAAATTTACAGGTAAATGATGAATTGGATAGAGACTTGGACTTGGAGTCAGAAGACACCAGTTTGAATACTGCGTGTTCCTAGGCAAGTCATTTAACCTCTCTCACACTCATTTTCCTCATCTATAAAATACGAACAAGAATAACATCAACCTCACAATGTTAATATGAAAATAAAATGAAATAATATATTTGTAAAGAGCTTTGCAAACTTTTAAGCATAATATAAAGGTTAAATATTTTCCATATATACTAGTTTATACACACACACACAGAGTATCAGGAAAGCTCTACGGATAACACTTGAATGAAAAAAATAATACTGCCCAGATAGCTTATGTCAATAGAAATGTGTTCAGTCTATCATATGAAAACAGTATAATAGGACTTTCCCCCTTGGGGACATAGTATGTGTGAGCTCAGAGTTGAGGTTCTGACAATGCTTCATGCCCACTACTAGAAAGCATGGTTTTTAAATAAATATCTAGGCTCTTTAAAAGATATTCATAAAAGACAATCAGAATAAAATGCTTAAATGGACTGAATTTTCCTTCCCAAACACTGCACTTTCCTCTTTCCAAGCTGCCATTTAAAAAAGAGAAGATGAAATGGATAAACCAAAAGCAGGTTTTATTTTACAGGTTTTTACCCAACCTTCTCAGTTCCTCCCAAATGAATTTTTTTCCCCCTATTTTCAATCAGCAGCAAAGAATGATTTGGGAGAGACTAGTAAAAGGAACAAAAAGGAAAATCTGAGGGGGGGTTTTTGGTTTTCTTTTTAGTGTCTATTTGAATATGAACATTATTGGAAAATGAGTCCTGATTCTATCCGTATAGCATCTACTGAGTAAATTAATCACTTTTTTTAAACTGTACCTTTTCACATTAGTCATCTTTAGGGCTATAAGTTGCCATTTGTAAGGGCTAACATTTTCCAATATTTTTGCCTGATATTTCCACAACAACAAAATCCTTTCATTCACTTTTTTCTTTTCACTTTGTGATTCTGATCCCCCATGATACATATTTAAACTAAAAGGCAATTTAGAGATATTACCTTTAAAGCACTCATTTCCAAACCAGGTCTAATTTAGGAGTTTAAAATATCAATTCTTGTTTTCTATAGAAGTTCCTCAAATCAGAAAGCGCTTTCTATTAATGAATATTTTGAAATTACATGTAAGACAATTTCTTTTTCACTGATTATGCTAAAATGCCATGTGACTTTGGTAAATGTTATGAGATATATATATATATATATAAAACATAATATTTACATAACATAATTATAAACTTTGTCACTCTATACATTGCCTGCATCTATCTAAATCAAACTTTGATAACTATCATCCACAAACTTTAGGAAGCTGCTAACAGTGGTAAGGAATGGAGTAATATAAACAGTAGCAAATTAAGCACTAACAAAGTCAGCAAATCACCCTTTTCAGTAAAATTGAGTTGTGACCCAATTCAGCCCCAATATGAAATGATTTGGTATTCAATGAAAATTTGTGGGAGGGAAGTAACTTAGAAATGCCAATTGTGATATAAAGCCCAAGGGGTAAAGACTCTCTACCATTAGCATTCTGAGTCAACTGACAGTTTGAAATTGGCCTGCTCCTGATGAAATCTGGAACTGATGATTCAAATTCTCAGCAGGATTATAAGTTTAATATTTCTTCAGTCGGTAGACTTAAAATAACATTAAATTTAAGCTAAACGAAGGGTATCTTAATGTCCTCCTTTTAATGCCATTTTCTCCATAGAGAGCTCAAAGTTAGTTTCAAGTCTCCAAATGTCCTAATATGTGTGTCCAATAGGCTCACAAAGCTAAAAAGTGTACAGGTGGGCACTATCTTTGTGAAGAACAATGACAAAGAACAACTCTTCTTTCAAGAGGCTTAACAGTATGTGCATTTTTTCTAGTTATGTGAGTTCAGATCAACCACAAAAAAAAAATCCCTAACCATTTTCTTTCACTGTGATTTTTTTTTAATTTCAACCAGGAAAAATAAGTTCATTCAAATTAAAATTTTAATGTCATACACTCATGAAATTTTGTACCTAAACACATCACAATAACTAGTGACATTATCAATACCTTTCAGTACAATCTGTTTTTGAACCTTAAATTTTTTCTTATTATATATAGTATCTTAGGTTGTATTCTCCCAGTCATAGGTGAAGTTATCAGTTTAACAAGAATACCATTTTCTCTCTCATCCCCCTTTTCCTCTATTTTTGCTGAGCTTAAAGTTATCAAATGACTTTGGAATGCACAGGGCCTGAAATGCTTCAAGTTTTAGAGAACCTTTTTTTAATGTTTAAAATAAAACTTGGAAATTAAATTGAATTTCAGGCTTCATCATAACAGATTATGCAGCCTAATGGAAGTAGAACTGAGTGGGCATTTAATGTTTGTTGAACTGAATTAAAAATTCTTAGCATAATTTCCTGCCTATCTTAGAACCTGTTTTCCACTTTTGAAATAAAACAGAAAAGTTTTATTTGTGGGGCAAAATAAAATTAAATTATCTTTCATTTTATATTTAAAGTTAATTTTATTATTATCAATAATTTATTTACATTTAAATTTATATTAAATTATCTATGAATGGATTCTATTTTGAAAATCTTAACTATACCATAATTCAATTTTAGAAATAAATCTTAAACAGTAAAAAAAAAAAGCTGAGAAAATTTCAGAGATAAATTTAAGAATTACTGGACCCCTAAAAATGATAATTTCTAAAAAACATTGTCAACACCATATTTCAAGAAATCATAAATGAAAACTGCCCAGATTTATCACAGAGAAAAGTGAAGATAAAAAGATCCACTGATCACCTCTTGAAATGCAGATGCACACCACAAATTTACCTTTTCAGTCCTATTTCTCTCTGGTCATCTAGTCACATAGCTCAACTATCTGTCAGACATCCCAAACTAGATGTTCCCTAGATATCTTAAACTCAACAGGTCCAAAACTAAACTCTGTATCTTCATCTCTCCCCTTCTTCCTCACCTCCCTATTACTGCCAAGGGTACCACCATCCTCCCAGCATCACCCAGCCTTAAAATCTAGGTGTCATCTTCAAATTCTGAGGGCACTCTCACCCTTCATACCCAATTTGTGGCCAAGACCCGGCAACTTTACCATCCTAACATGTCTTATATGCCCCCTCTCTCAAGTCTCTTACATCTTTCACTAAGCTGTCAAATTGACCTTAAAATGCAGATCTGACCATACCACTCTCCCTATTCAATAACCCTCCAGTGCTCCAGATCTAACAAAGCCCTCCTTACTCTTCTTCCTTTCCTATCTGTCCAGTCTTTTTTACACCTTCTTATCCTTCCACATACTGTATAATTCTGGCCTCCTACTTGTTATTCAAACAGTACATTCATCTCCCAAATGGGCATTTTCAATGGCCATCGCCCATGCCTGGAATGCTCTCCCTCCTCATCCTAAAATATCATTGCTGATTCTCAAATTTACTCATCCAGCCACTGATGCTAAGTGCTAAGACTCTGTGGAAGAAAAAAACAAGGATCTCTTCTGAACCTTAGAGATATTTCTTAAATAAGAAAACAATGAGGAAAAAAATAAAAATAAAGATTTAAAAAAATAAATAGTGCTCCTAGGAGTTGACTGCTTCTGATCTGAAGGTTTTAGGTGATCAAAGATAACAGAGAGTAAAACTGTAAGGTAAAGAGGTAAAAGAGGGAAGATTCCACTATTTCTCATAATTAGGGAAATGAGAGGGACAGGCTAACAATAATGCCCCCAAAAGTGAGAGACAGCATTGAAATTTTTTTTTAAATGAACAGGAAGTTGGAAAAAGAAGCAAGACAAGCAGGGCAGCTTTGAAAGTAACATCTTATAGCCCACAAAATTCAATAAATAATTTTGTTATAATCAAATACGCTACTACAAAAAATCCAACATAAGAGATTCTTCTTTCTATTCCTCATCTATGTCACATGGGAAAAAAACAACAAAAACCAAAACCTGAAACCCACCAAACTTCCGATCTGGTGCCTTAGGAGTTGCAGGGGTAATTTTCCTTGTCAAGGCTACCAAGGAACACAATAAATGCCGGCAGTTTTCACTGGATTTTTTTCAGCTACAAAGTAATGCAAATGGTAAATATTAATAATATATATATATATATATGTATTTCCAACCTTAATTATTCCTACATTATCCACATTTAAAAAAAAGACTGCACCTGGTTTATATATTGAAAGCCATAACTGATCAGTTTATGTTATAAATAAAATTTATTGTTGTTGTTCACTCCTTACAGTAGTGTCCAACTCTTTGTGACCCCATTTGGAGTTTTCTTGGCAAAGATGTGGTTTGCTATTTCCTTCTCCAGCTCATTTTACAGATGAGGAAACTGAGGCAAACAGAGATAAGTGACTTGCCCAGAGTCACACAGCTAGCTAGTGTCTGAAGCCAGATTTGAACTCAGGAAGCTGAGTCTTCCTGACTCCAAGCCCTGCATTCTATCCACTGCACCATAATGAGTAAAATACCTTGTTAAAATTAAGAGTTTTGAATGTATTTTGTTCTCCAACTGAAAAATGGTCAAGTGATATGACTAGGCAGTTTTCAAAGACAAAAAAACCCAAGCTACCAATAGCAATATGAAAAAAACACTCTGTATCACTAATAATTAGAGAATGTTCTAAATCACTAATAATTAGACAAATACAAATTAAAACAACTCTATAAGTTGACAAAAGAAAATGACAAACTCTAGAGAGTCTGTGCACTGCTGGTGGAGCTTTAAATTGGTCCAACCACTGAGGAAAGTAATTTGAAACTATGTCCCCCAAAACTTTTAAATTGTGCATACTTTTTTTTTGGCCAAATTTGAACTGAGGTCCTCTTGACTACAGGGCACGTGCTCTACCCATCGCACCAGCTAGCCCCCTTTCATACTCTGACGTAGAGATACCATTGGTACGTTTATATCTCAAAGTGATTTTAAAAAGTTTAAAAAGGCAAAGAACTCACATGTACAAAAATATTTATAGCAGTTCTTTCAGTGGTGGCAAAGAACTAGAAATGGAAAAGATGCCCATCATCCAGTTTTCAGTTCTGTTTTTTTTAAAATGTTGTGACATACAGAACCTTAAAATCCTACATAACATTTTAAATGATTTCTTTCAAGAATTCCACAGCAATTTCTGAAATAATTAACAAGGCTCTCCGGAATATTACAAAACTGGGGTTGGAAATCACTGCCTGACAGATTCTGGTTCAATTTTTTTTTAAATAACATATCCAACTTGGGACATATGATCTGACATGAAATATGATAAATTTAAATGGATCATATTATTTATTATTTTTAAAATTAACTTATACACTTGTATCTCATATTGTTTTTGCAAACAAAATCTAAGCCATTTTTTAGCTGTATCTCCTACCTTATGGGAATCTAATAATTTAAACAAAACAGAGCTATAGATTAACACTCCAGTTGGTGAGGAGCATTTTAGTCCCACTTACCTCACCTTTCCTCTTTGAATTTTAATCTTATTTCTCCAGTAGTCTCCAGATCCTTTAGTTATATGTGTAAAGACAGTAATATAATAATTGGTATTGTTCTAAGACAGTTTATTTTAAATCATTATTAAAGTTATACTTTTCCTTTGAGAATTTGGTATATAGCATGCGTCAGGTTTACTGGAAAAGTCCCCTCATTTAACTGCCCAGTAGGCATTAAGCCTAGTTTTCAATTCACCTACTGACCCAAAGAGAAACACAGTGAATTCACTTCTGTGAACTAGTAACTTAAAACTCCTTGGGAGGGCTGGGGAAAGAGAGGAGAAAGGGAAAGGAGAGTTTAGGAGGGGCACTTTTAACTCAAATTCATTGAGTCACTTTTCAGGCAAAAAAAAAAAAAAAGACAGGAGTCCCCTAACCTCTACAACTGCAGTAAGAGTACATATTTTCTCATAACTTTGTAGCCAAAAATGTGAATAAGCCATAATCAATTTTGCATTTTTGTCTCTACTTTTAGCAGATGCAGGTTTCGACCCAAACAAGAATGAAAACACTATTTATGGTGCTAAACCTTCATGCAGAATTAGAGAAACCTAATCTAAGTTCCCCGTTAGTCAACCAGCCAAGTGGCATTTACTAAGTGTTTACTATATATATGTTAGGGACAGTCTTTGCTATGAGGAATAAGGGGAAATATACTGTCCCTGTCCTCAAAGAGCTCAGGTTCTAATAAAGAAAATTTGATTTCCATACATTCACCCGGCTACCATTTAGCAGCTCTACACATTTGCTTTAAAAGTCCATTAATAAGCAGCATAATCTTCAACAAGGATCACCATAAAACGATGCTTAAAAACTGGGAGGGGGGAGGAATGGAGGAGAATCATTTCAGAAAAAAATGCAAAGAATTCTGAAAATAATCCCTTCCCACGGTCCCTCACCAAGCTAAAACTATGATCCACTCATAATTCATAATTTTCCAAAGAAATGTATAAAAACACTCATATGTATAAACATATTTACTTTTTTTAAACTCCCATTCATTTAAAACAAGTCCTATAACCTAACATTTGATTACTTATGCAACCATAAACTCCAATCAGCTTCCCTGAAACAAATCGAGTATAAAAAAAGTCAATGCTTAGAAGCAACACCAACACGTTACTAACGATTGTTCCCACCTCCTTATATTCCCTTAGCAGCACGAAGTATTACGAAAAATGTTAAATTCTTTCTTATAACTCTTAAGCAGACCCAGAACCGAAATAAATTACTGTTATTAGGAACCTCCTTTAAATTTTTTAACATGAACATGTGTTAAGTTTCGGTTCCAACAGGACTCACCGAGGGGGAGACACACACACACACACACACCACCCATCCTGCATTTTCTTTCAAATATGTTAGTGGTTAATATTAATTTCTGTATTAAATTGTTTATTTTGAAAGGTTTCGTTTCTTTTCTTTAGAGGAGAAAAAAATTTTAGGAGCACATTATCAGAAAAACCTCCTTAAAAACTAACTTGACCAATCGAAAATGGTAAAGAAATATTAGATTAAAACTAAAGCGGAAAACTCCTTATGAACAGTTTGAGGGCCATTAGGTGAAGCAGAGGTCCTCACCTATGCTCCGAAAGCTATTCTTGAGAGTTAAAAGAAACAGTCAGAGAGGCCCCTGGTCAAAGGTGTATCTTTCACATGGGCAGGTGGAGGAGAGAAAAAAAATGGCCCAGGGCCGGGGCCGTTGGAGGGAAGGGGAAAGGGGAGGTGAAGGGGATGTGCATTAATAAAGGTCTAATTAAACGTTTTTATTTTTCTCCTCTAGAATCAAGCAGGAAACGAGGTGAAAATGGTAGGAAGTTTAATGTATGCATGCCCTGGTGCTGCACACACAGCAACCAACACAGGGACTGGGAGAAGGGAGAGAAAGTGAAGAGCAGGCTGGAGGGGAGCGCGGGCTGCCCGCGCCCCCCGGACCGGCCAGCCGGCCACCCCGGCGCGTTTATTTCGGACACACTCAGCTGTCGGCCGATCCTCCCCGCCCAGCCGAGGGCGGCCAAGAAGAGCAAAGAGCCGCCGCCGCTCCCCATCCCCAGCCGAGGACAGAGGAGCCAGCGGGCGGGCGAGGGAGCCCACAAGGGGGATGGAGATGGCAGCGTGACCAGCCATGTTACCCGCAGCCTCAGTCTCACGCTGAGAATAGGTCTCAACTTTTATTTCTATAGGGAGTTCGGCGGGGTCGGGGGTGGCGTGGGGGTGGGGAGAGGAGCGGGAGGCGAACTGGGATTTCGCAGGAAATAAGTCGTCCCCTCCGCCTAGTTTAGGATTTCCACCTCCCCGCCCTTCCCCCTCCCCTCCGCTCCTCGCGCTCAGTTGGGGCCCGAGCGCGCTGCCCCCGCCTCCTCCCCCCGCCCCGCGTGCCCGCTCGGGCAGCTCCTCCTCCGGCCTCCCGGCGGGCTGGGCGCCCGGGGCCGCAGCGCCCGCCCAGGCCGCCCCCCCAACCCGGCCACCGTTGAGCAGCAACCCGGGGGTGGGGGGAGGGGGGGTACGCAAGCACGCGGAACCCCCCCCGACACACACAGAGCTCGCCCCTCCCCCTCCAGCCGCACACACATCCATGAGCCCCGGGAGGACCCATCCGACCGCACTTCCGACTCACCCCAGCCTGGGTCTTGGGCCGCCGACTCCCGCGTCCGTTTCAGAGGTGCAGTCGGAGCCCGTGCCAGAGGCGGGCTTGCCGCTGCTCCGAGAGCCGCCCGGGCCGGGGACACTTGGCCCGGTCCGTGCCCGTTCAGCCGTGGCACTTCAGCACCAATTCACCCGTAGCCCCAGCGGCACCCCTACTCCTCCCTCCTTTTCTTCCCGTCACCTCAACAATCCCTCAGGTTCTTCCGCTCAGGAGATTTAAAAAAAAAAACCCAACAGCATTCTAAACTGTGGAGATGGAAGAGAAGCAAACAAAAACAACCCACACCATTTGGGCGGTGACGGTTCCGTAGGAATATCCCCTGCACGCTTGTGGCCCACGAAAGGCGAGCGGAAAGGCTCGGGGACCGCCGACCCTGCTCCTCGAGGCAAGTTTTGGGAGCCGCTGCGGCTGTGCCCGCTTCCGGCTGGCCTCGCTTTGCCCCAACACACAAAGCTGAGGAGGGAGGGAGGAAGGGAGCCGCTCCGGCCGCCGCCGCCTACTCGTAACCTCCGCCTCCCGGTCCCCTCCGGGCCAGCCCTCTCGCTAGTTCGGGGCTCTGCTGCAATGTCTGCGAGGCTGACTTTCAAAGCCTCGGCAGCGGCGGCGCTCCTCCCTCCTCCACCTCTTCGGTGCAGCCCGGTCCCTCCCCTCGCTCTCCACGCCATTCATCTGTTCAGCCAAGTTTCTTAACCCCTTTTTTACCTCCTTCCCTTTGTCAGGGGGTGGGTGGGGGGAAGGGGCATCGGGAGAAAAGCCTGGCGTGGGTCTTGGCTGCTTCTCGCATGGACGGAACCAGGGCTTCAGCAGCACAAGCAAAGGAGTTAAAAGGCATCGGAAATTTTAGCTTAAGCAGACTGTACGCGGAAACCAAATTTTAGGACGTTTTCCCTCCAACTCCCCCACCCACAAGGGAAAAAAATCCTCGTCCCCATCTACCAGCTCAATTCAGCCAATGGCCCTCCTTGACCTTTTCTCTAGAGGCAACTCCTTTCTACCTTGGAGAAGAGTCATGCTTTCCTTTTCCAAAGGCCAAAAGGACACATTTGAAAGAGATCCCCTTCTCCACCGCAGGCAGGGCCTCCGAGTCCAAATCTCGGTACTACTTGCTATCTACCTTGAGGTGCACCAGTGTTTGAGTGGAAACACTTCTGTGGTTTCCATTCCTTTTACTACTGCTAGCTTGCAGGAGGCTTCCTCACCCACAGCCCCTGCAGTCACTCTTTCTACCCCCTCAAGGTTTGCTCGCCAGCAACTTGAATGATCCCGTGACCATTTTAATCCCATGCTAAAAGGAAAACTGCACCAAGTCAGAGAATTCCTCTTTAAGACCCTTAGAATTGTAACTGTGGACAGAAGTAGAAGCCCGCAGGAAGTGCTTATCTTTCAATGGTCTATCATTTGAAAAGTCCCCATCGGGTGTTTGTCAACAATTCTCTATCACAGACTGAGAGGACCAGGACCCAAAGAAAGAAATTCTAGTACTCAAAAATCCTGTTATCTTCTTTTCCTTCTTCTCCTGGATTGGAACTATGTATTACATGACAGCCATTCTGAGGCCAGTGAAGTACCTGTGATGGGCTGGTGGGACCTGGAGCCCATCATCACCATGAGACAAGTGTAGTTGCTCCCTACCATGTTGTCTCTGTAATTTGTTGGGCTTTTCACTTTAAATTTCTATGAAAGAGGTAGCAATCAATGAAGAGAAGCACCCGTATGTTTCTCTTTCTACTATATTTTTTGCCTTCAACTCTCATCTTGAATATTTTGTTATTGTTGGGCAGAAAGACCTGACAATGAGGATACCCTTTGTGCATCCCTTGCCATCAACCATCCCTTGATCAGGGTCTGCCCAGACCCCATTTGAGGGGCTAGGCTGGAAAAGCAGTATGGCTGCTCACACCGCCTACCTGAGCCGAGAGTCATCATCTGTAATCCTCCTTTTGAGATGAAGGACTAACAGACCTTGTCATCTGCCCTGCCACCTTCCCACAACAGACATTTGATTGTTATCTTATGCCCTGCTACGATAACCTCTAGCCCTTCCCTCCACCGCTCACCTACTCTTCACCCCCTAATACATTTCTACCTTGCCTGTCACTCTTAGGACCTCCAGTCCTTTCCACCTTCCATGTAGTTGAAATCTTTTATATATGTTGTCTCCCCAATTACAGTGTGAGCCCTTTCAGAGTAAAGACTTAGATCTTTCTAATTCCTCACCCCACTGCTTAGTATAGTATTCTGCACATAACAAGCACTTCATTTATTCATCTCTAAAACTTCAAATTAGAACTATTACTGCCTCTCTCAAACACCTCCCTAGATATAAGATTTCTTTTTTGGCTTCTATCATTTTGTGTCAGGAAAAGAGTCTCACTGTTTAATTTGCTTTAAACAAAATTTAACATCCCCTTAAACTTAAAAATGTCGTGGACCTGTTAAAATGATTAAAACAAATTTTGGTTAAATGGTAGCCTGGAAGCTTGTAGAGGAACTAAACCCCAACCCCTCTCTCACACAAACACATACCAGCAAATAAGGACCCCAAAAGATCAGTGATGAAGCAAACCAACAAGAAATTGAAGTAAGCTTTTGAATGCAATCCAGAAATTCATACAAAGTTGGTCAAAAACTTGTGGGGCCTGGGAGAAGGAAAATCAGTTTGAGCTCTGGAAAATAAGTATGAAATGTGGGAGAACTGGGAGGAGGATTATATCAGGGAAGTCAACAAATGGGGTTGAAGATACTAGACAGTACAAATGAGAATGTTTCACAAGGATCACAAGCTAGTAGAAGCTCCATCAATTGAGGCCCGAAGTCAGATTCCAACCCTCACCTGTTGGAACAGACTGGGAGGGACAAAGCCAATTCTTAGAGGTCACTGTACATTTGACAGGATCCTGGCTATGCATTTCTTAGGAACCAAAGCAGGAGACAAGGCCAGCTCAGTGCCTGGGTACCCTCAATGAGGAATTTTGGGGAAGCCTAAGACCAGTGCATCTGACTGAGGCTTGTCAGGGCCACAATAAAGGATAGAACCAACTCCCTATTATAATGAGCAAGTGGGAAACAGAGATGGGTGCCAGGACCTATAGTGAACCACTAGGACACTGAGACAGAAATTGAGAATTGAGGGATGGGGCCTAGGACCAGCCATACTATCCATAATGGCAGCTGCACATCCAGACTACAGAAAGGACAGGACCAATAAGGCCCATTTGACCCAAACAAGAGTGCCAGGTAGAATGGAATATGGCTGAACATAAAATCCTAATTCAAGAACTTAGGCTAGAAATATGAATAAATAGAAGAAAATGCCAAATGCATGAAGAAATGTGAGAAGCCATGAAGTAAACCCAGAGGAAGACAGTAACTCCATAATAGGTAAAAGTGGAACCCCAAGGGGGAGAAATGGCTTGACCAAAAATACTTTAGGAGTGGCAAGAAGAAATAAAGCAAAGAACTGAATTAGGTCTCAGGGAAAATAATTTGAAGGAGAATAAATAGCTTGTGTGAGGTATGCTGTCCTTTCCATGTGGAATAGTTAAATGATGAAAAGGACGTAAAAATGTTTTTGGAGAAAGGGAAAGATTTATATCAATTATGAAATGATTCCCTATTAGAGATGAGCATTTTGATGCCAAAATGTAGTTTTAAAATATCTTTGTTTTCACATAGACTGTTAATATACGTGAATGAAGTCACAAAGCTTTCAGACAGATTTGGACAGTTTGGGAGAGAAAATTATTTGTGGCACAAAATATAAAGACTCAGATATGCTTGTAAATGATATCTATATCATATCTATATATGATACTTCCCTTATATAGGGACAACATTATACTGTAAAGAGGCAGAGAAAGATCTTTTATTAAAAACTAGACAAATAGGTGTGTAAAAGCAACATCAAGGGCACAAAAAAAAGACGGATGACCATCACAGTTACAAAGCATTATGGTATGTCAGCTAATTCATTTTAATTGTTTTAAAGAGGGTAAAACTAAAAACAAAATAAAAAATCACATAAACACTTAGAAGCTGAAGTATGTTGTGTGTGTGTGTGTGTGTGTGTGTGAGAGAGAGAGAGAGAGAGAGAGAGAGAGGGAGAGGGAGAGAGAGATCATCTTTGTTTCTCACAAAACATGACCAAGATGAGAGGTCTGAATTTTCTCCAGCAAGATTAGCTTTTGTGGAGACCAAGCTTGAAGTAACTGAAATGTTATCAAATACTGTGGATCATGCTACAAGTATCTTCTCTTCTCAGTGTTCTGAGACTAGATACATTTCCACAGTGAGCAAACCTGTAGCAATCAGAATGTTCTCAGAAGAATGTCTCCTGCCATAAGTGCCTTGTCCTCTAAGTGTTGAGACTAAATGTGTTTCCACAGAGAGCAAGCCTATAGTAACTAGAATATTCTCAGAGCATGTGTCTCCAACCACAAATATCTTGTCCTCTCGATGTTAGATAGTTGATTGAGCTGATTTTCCCCCTCCCCCTTCCTGGAGGTAAGCGGTCCCCAGGTGTTACACATTACACAAGTTTTATTTTTTTCAAATGCTTCAACTGGTTGAGCTGACTTTTTTCCCCCCTCCTTCACATACCCCAACAAATGCTCAGGTAGGATCCTCAGGGATTGGTCACTGGAAGGGAGTGGGTTAAAGTAGGAGAAGAGGGGAGAGGCTGGCAGCCCTTAAGAAGTGCATTTCCTTTCAATAAGATTACCTCCAGAACACTGAAAGAGTCTGAATGTAACCTTGTGGTGCTGGTCTTATCAATGGGAATCTAGACTTGCCAGGGTGAGAGCAAGTTAGAGGCAGCCAGCCTAGAGAAAGATTGGGGTATTTATACAACTAGGTGAGAAGCCCCAAGTTTGCTACTGTTGGAAGTATTTATGATCACTCTATCTGTAGACCCATTGTAATGCCACATTTGTCTTATTAAACTTTGAACAAAAGGTAGAAAATCTTCCCAAGAAGTAGACTCACTGAAAAAGAGAAGGGGGCAATTACAACTCAGTGACTACAGAAGAAACAACAAATATTAGAACAAAGTCAAAAGATTTAAGAAACAGAAGAAAATACAAGGTAACTCCCACCAAAAACAACTAACCTAGAAAGCAATTTAAGGAAGGATAATTTAAGTCACTAGACTCCGTGAAACCCTTGATAAATAAAAATATATTGATAGCATATGGAATGGGTAGAGCTAATTCAGCCAGTGTCCTCTTAGTTTAGGCTTGGTGCTGGAAGGAATGAGAGACTCATGGGTCTCTCAACAGTTAGGTCTTTCAACAATCTAACAAAAGAAGGTTTACATAGTGGACATTCAATAAGATTACCATAGAACACTTAAGTTGGATAGACAGAAATCCCTCACCTCCATATCAAAAAGTCACCAGATGTGGTGATATCATAAGTCTAAAGAGCCTGCTCTATATGGATTGACCTTTTTATGTCCTTAAATGACTAGGAAGCCCCATTGGTATGGCCAGAGGCCATCAGAAAGCTGCACCAAGGGAGTGAAACAAGTCCTGGGTGGGAAACCATAGTAGATAGTGGTCCTATCACATCATTTTTCAGGAAACCATAAAAGAAAACTTGCTTGTACTAGAAGAACCAGAAGGCAAAGGGAAAATTTTTAAAAATCACCTCCTGAAAGAATTCCCAAACTGAAAATATCCAGTTTAACAAGAGGCAAAATTGAGAGCTTCCAAGACAATGATATTACAATGGGTAGCTCAATCAACAAGCATTTATTCAGGGCTTACTATGTGATAGGCACTGTGCTAAGCACTAGGATCACAAACCTCCCTCACACGTAGCATGAGGGTGTCACAGGGTGACTGAAAGGGAGGTTGAATAGATACCTTTGGCCTCTTCTCCCTCCACCCTTCTCCAAGGGAAGCTTTAATTCTTGCCAGAAGGGTAAGCAGGAGGTTAAAGCCAAAAGCCTGGCCACTCTGCTGTCCTCAGAAAGATAGGTACCAGCTAGAATTGTCTGTCTGCTAGGCTAGAATCTACTACTTTAAATATTATTAGTCTAAGAGATGTTTTTCACATTCAGGCTAAGCTTCTGAACTATTTCCTAATGGGGGAAGCATGAACCCAAGTTTTATACCCAGAGCTTCACTCCCCCAGCAAATACCAGTTCCACAATGAACACACATAGCAGATTGCAAAGAAACCTATTTATCCGAGTTGATAGCAAAATGGAAATCAGAGAAAGTATGCATAGTTGAACATACACCAGGCAATGCAGAGTGAAGAGAAAGAAAGGTAGTGGAGGGAAGAACCAGTAGGTAGGGAGATACTGGAGATTAGAGAGAGGGTGAGGATAATAAAGGGTTCAATCTGTAGGATAAAATAAGAGAGAATGGGATTAAGGGTTCATGTGGAAGAGTTTGCCTTAGCAAGGAGGAAGATGTGAGGCACCCTTCTCTTCTTCATATGATAACAGAGGTGAAAAAGAGTCAAGTGATATGAGATGGGAGTTGAGGAACAAAGAAAAGGGAGCTTTTGGGAAATGACCTCAAATTTTTAGATGAAGTATAAGACCAGGTTTTCAACTTGGAATTAAAGAAAGGAGGTGCTGTGGTAGGCTTGAGGAGAAGAGAAAATGTTTCGAATGGTAACTGTGGAAAATGAGACAGTTAATGACTAGGGAGGTATGAAAGCATTGTCTTACTGCAATGAAAGCATTGTCTTAATGCAATGAAGGCTCAGCTGAGTTTATATGAACATGGTTTCATGATTTCCAGTTTTATCCAGCAAGAGGATAGTGGGACTGATTCACCAAGGATTTGAGATAGGGAAGGGAAGAAAAGTGTAGCTAGTGCAGGATGATGGCTTGTAAAAGAAATGGTGGAGAGGTTTGATGAGTCATAGTGAGGACAAAGAACAAGGCTGGGGGAAAGAATAAATGATAAAATATTTTAAAATTTCAGAATTCAGGATCATGGAAGTGGAGCACTTCTGTCTGATATAAGATCAAGAATTTGACCATCTCTCTCTATAGTGGAGGGGAAGTGGAGGACAATTGAATAGATCGAGGAACTGTGGAGTTAGGGTATTTGAAAAATATTTACCAATGCAAATAAACTTGTTGACTCATTTATCCATATTATTATCTTTCAGAGTAAATTTTGCACAACTAAGTCTAATATGGCAGTAGGCATTTTTTCATCACCTGAACATATGCATTTCTTATTGTCTATGCTTTGCTCTGGTGAAGGTACATAAGAAATTTTGTTCTGATAGCATTAAGGATTCTTTACTTACAGAGCTGAATAACACTGATCTCAACTTTCTTTTTTGGTCATGTCACATTACTATAAGTCTACTGGTAAAAGGCATTTAATTTTTTTTGTTATTATAGTTGGGTTGTTTTCAGTTGTGTCCAATTCTGTATGACTCCATTTGGGTTTTCTTGGCAAAGATACTGGAGCGGTTTGCTATTTCCTTCTCCAGCTCATTTTACAAATGAAAGAACTGAGGTAAACAGGGTTGAGTGACTTGTCCAGAGTCACATAACTAGTAAGTGTCTGAGGCTAGATTTGAACTCATGAAGATTAGTTTTCTTGACTCCAGGTCCAGTATGCCATTCACTGCACCATCTAGTTGCCCAATAAAATGTTCACTGTAAGTTAAAAATGAACAATGAATACTGTTAGTATTATGCTACAGATAAGCCAATGGACCTAACTTAGGACAATAATGTAGATTAATCTGTTGGGTGAGATATTAAACTTACAAGGAATTTTTGGATTTCATTTCTATTAACATTTATCATTTATAATTTTAGAGAGTTTTAGAAAGCAAATTCATTTTACTCTGTATTAGTAACATTGGGTAAGGATACCCAGCTGATGTGGATGGTAGGGTGAAGGCAAAGGAGAGAAAAAAATAGACGGATATCTAGAAGAAAAACTAGAATGCGGGAAGAAGAGACATGATTGAATAAGATACAGGAATATTTTGGGGGCAAAACCTATAATTTCATTAGGGAACTCCTCTACAAATTCAGTCTGTAATTTATAGTCTTAGAGAGTGGCCTAGAGCACTGAAAGGGTAAGTGACTTACCCAGAGTCACACAGCTAATATGTATTGCACATTGGACTTGAACCCAGATCTTTATGATTCTAAGGACAGCTCTCTATCCACTATATAACATTACCTGTAGATATAAGAATTTAAAAGAAATTAAAAGATTAAGTCTTTGAACTGTGAGCACTGTTCCAAGTCTAATCTATTTGTACATTTCTTGATCAAGTGGTGGTGTTAGAGAAAGGTCATTTGAAACAAGAAACCTTTGAATGTAAGAAGCAATCTTTATTGGTTGCCTGGGAACCTAATCACATTCAATCAATGCATTTATTGAATGCTTACTAAGGTACTTTGACAGACACTATAAGGAATATGAAGATGTGTAAAAGAGTCGCTTTACCAAAAGGAATGTCCAAATTAGTAGGAAAGATTAAAAAAAAATTCTTAGGTTATGAAATCCAGGCAGCTTGAGTATGGAGAAAGTTAAAGCAAAGAGAAAAAAACCCTGGCTTTCACTCTTCCCCTTACTTGGTCTGTGGCAGTGAGTGAGACAGAGGCAAAAATGGTGGTTGTGACAAAATTAAAGTGACCAGTCTAGCAATGGAAGTGAAGCTAAGAGGCAGTAGTGTTGGAGGCAGCAATGGTGAAGAAGTAGTGGTGACAGGAGATAAACCTGAAGCACAGCTGACAGCTGACAGACAGTATTATCTGCAATTCAGAACCAGATAGGGCAAGGGCAACATTGTCTACAATATTAGAGATCTAAATACTCCTTCCCTTTGCACAAACACATACAACAGGTTAGAAATAAATAGTTCATTACACAGCTCTGAGTTGTCAGTGGAAATCATAGTTTCTGCTCATCTGTCGATTGTCTTGAAGCCATACCTTTCAGAGGGTAGGCTCAGCTCAGCTCATATTGGTATTGTTGCAACATATGTTATTGTCA